GAGCTTGGCACGAGAACAATGATTAATGTCAAATCAGTGTAAACTATTTCCAAAATAATAGTTGTTTTGGATTCATTTGGTAATTCCCTTGAATCATATTTATTCAAAGAATGATAAACTTTTATCAGATTGCAGGGTATGGACGAATCTTGAATTCTTTTGGTGATTCCCTTTGAATGATAAATTTTTAGTTTTTGCATTGGCAAGGAACTGCATAGCAATGAACTCACTGTAATCTTATTTATTCAATGTCATTCACCAATTTGTTTCTCTGTTTTGCAGTTTCAGGATGCACTGGATTATGACCCGAAATGCATCATAGATGAACTGCATAGCAATGAACTCACTGTAATTTTATTTATTCAAATGTCATTCACCAATTTGTATCTCTGTTTTGCAGTTTCAGGATGCACTGGATTATGACCCGAAATGCATCATAGATGAACTGCATAGCAATGAACTCACTGTAATCTTATTTATTCAATGTCATTCACTAATTTGTTTCTCTATTTTGCAGTTTCTGTTTGCACTGGATTATGACCCGAAATGCATCATAGATGAACTGCATAGCAATGAACTCACTGTAATCTTAATTATTCAATGTGATTCACCAATTTGTTTCTCTGTTTTGTAGTTTCAGGATGCACTGGATTATGACCCAAAATGCATCATAGATGAACTGCATAGCAATGAACTCACTGTAATCTTATTTATTCAATGTCATTCACCAATTTGTTTCTCTATTTTGCAGTTTCAAGATGCACTGGATTATGATCCGAAATGCATCATAGATGATCAAGACCCGACATGTGCATCGCAATTACCAAGGTATTTGCTCACTCTATCTAAATTGAATTCTCCAAATGGTTTCAAATATTTGTCTGTATTCTAATTTGAATTTACTTCTGTTTGATATTTAGAACCATATTTAGAACCATTCTTTATTTTCCCTAAAAAATTGATAAAGTTATAGTTCATCTAAGAATGCTCACAATTTTGTTACCCCATATAATCCATGTATATGTGCTTTCTTTTTTTTTTTTTTTGAAGTTCCTTTTATCTTTCATAATTCATATATCGATGGCAAATGAGGTAACATCTATTGTGCACAGATTACTAGAGTGTATGGGATAATTAAAAAATTCATGAATACAAAATACACAACATTTGCATAGGGATTCTTTGTTAAACAAGCAGTCTCAGTGCTCATTATTCATAGTTCTTTGTGTGGAAGTACATTTTATGCAATCGCGTGGGACTTAAGAATGTGTTTTATTACCGCTTTTTTCCATTTTGTAATTGATGCTATGTGGCAATTGATGCTATCTGAGTGTGTTTTATATGATGTTTCATTTACGAGTTGTAAGTAATGGAGTTGATGCTCTCTAGAGTAATTAACACCTTTTTATTTTTTACATATAAATCAATTTAAATTGTTTTTGTCTATTAGCTCAAATGGTAGAGCAATATGCACTTGCATATAGATGTGGGTTCGAATCCCGCATAGGCAAATCTTCAATTACTTTATTTATGTAGTGTCACTACTTTGCTATTATATATTTTGTGAAATACATTTTGAGAAGCCTATTTTAGCAAAATACACTCTTACTATTTTGAGCAAAGCTAATACAGGAGACACCAAATATTGTTGCATCCAGCACCACCAGGAAATGCTAGATATATAGAAGCTTCAGAGTGCAATATATAAATATGAAATGCAATCATGTTCATATGCATGCGTCACCATCTAGTATAAAAAGCAAATATGCTCTCAAATAATTCTATAGGCTCGTGTTTAAATATTGCTCCAGGTATGAGTTGAAGTGAAACTCTGAACTGTTTAAATGCACAATGTGGTCATTACAAGAAATATATGTATACATAGTATAATTAAAAAAAAACTTCAAAGTGGTCAAATTCTGGGAAAAGATAATTCATTTCTTTTTTTAGATTTCTTTCCATCTGACATCAAACTAGGCACATTAAATTAACATTATGGTTAAAATATCTTTGGTTTTCACCCCTTTGATAGAACAAAAAAATATAACAAAGGAGTTGTTTATCGTATAGATTAAAAAATATTAATCGGGATTACAATCAAAATGTACTATGCATAATGTAAAAATGCTATTCAAATACTCATAGATGCACTAATAACCAAATCAATTAAGTGATCTTTATTTATATTTGCATGAATATACTTTTAACAAATATCCCAAAACATTCATAAGTCCTACTACCTTAATCTTCTTTGGCTGAAGCATGACACAACTGAAGCACATCACAAGGTAGAAACAAAAACACACACTATCTGTTCAGAGGAAAATAAAGGAACCCAACTCTTTGTCATCCTCATTACTGCACTCTTCATTATATGCTGCATCTTCATCTACTCTCCATCTTCACAACTTTCATTTTCATCATCTTCATCAACCTCGTCCTCAACATCTCTGTGGCTTTCAGAATCTCCAACAACCATGTCGTCATCAAGTGTGTTGTTTTCATTTTTTCATCTACTCTGTCATCATCTGCAACCTCCATATGCACAGGTCAACTCCTTGGCTTATTTTTCAATTTAACATTTATCAACCTCTTGCTTTGGCATCTTGTTGATGTTGATGCAGTTGAATTACCAGTTTTACTCCCCTTTACCACAACTCCCTTATTTATTTCTCCACCTTCTTTACCTGAATCAATTTCATTATTTCATTAAATCACTTCACACCATTCTAAGTTCTAATGCTTAAATAAAACAAGATTATGCATACACCAGTTTTCATATTCTCAGTTCTAATGCTTAAATTTAAATACAACATCCATACGCAAACACTCATAAATCATCTCAAATTCATCAATANACTCATATTCACACAATTTGAACTAAATTTCACCACAAATGCACTAAATTTCACACAAACAAATTCAATTTCACAAAAAATTACAATAATAATAAACAGTATAAAATTTAAAAAAATACCTTGAGAAGAAGAGGAGGTCAGGTGGGGGAAGATGGCGGTCGAGACACTGGCAGCGGCGAGTGGTGGAGACCCTGGCGGCGGCGGCGAGGAGGGAGGGAGACACTGGAGGCGAGGGGTGGAGACACTGGCGGTCGAAGGCGAGGCTGGGAGGAAGACACTCGCGGCGCGGTCGACGGCGAGGCGAGGAGGACTAGCGCCGCGGCGTCAAGCATGCGGCGGCGGCGGGCGGTCAAGGAAAGCCGCGGAGGATATGCGTCAGTTGAAGTTGTGTGGACGGAAGATGTCTGGGCTTGGATCTGTGAACTGATTTCGTATGTAGATTGAAAAGAGGATAACCCGATGTTATTTAATTATCCACGACGGAATTACATCCGTTGCAGATTCCGTAGCAGATCTGCTACGGAAAGTGTATTTCCGTCGCAATAATGTTCCTTTTCCCGAAATTATTTTTCCGTTGCAGATTCGTTGCAGATCTGCTACGGATATGTGTCCGTAGCAAATTTCCGTTGCAGACCAGATAAATTCTTGTAGTGTCTAATATTTAAGTTATGTCTATTTTTTATGAATATATACCAACTCTTGAATCAATGTTTTTGTTGCTTCTCTTGTACTCAAATTTTTAGGTTCTCTGCATTCTCATGGTCAAATAATGCATTTTTACTTCACAGTGTTGCAAAGAAAACGTGAGACTTTTGGTAGATACCCCATTCCTGCTATTCTTTAATTTCTTTGTTCATTTTTTGTTAATTGGATATGCATTGAGGCACGATGATAATTAAAAATGACTTTTTTTGTTTCTATTGAATCTTTGTTTCAATAAGATTTTTTTCTCTTGCATATACCTTTGTTCCTACAGAACTCTTTTCTGTTTCAACTTTGTTACTATAGGATTTTTTTGTTGCATTTTGTTATACATCTTATCTCAATATTATACAATCTTAGTTGGATATTGTTTTAAACTCACCATTCTTTGTTGCTTTGTAAAGTTTTGGTACATCACACATTCACATTTTAAAGTGTGTCTTGCATTTTGAAGTGCATGTCTTGCATTTTGAAGTGCACGTCTTGCATTTTGGTCAACATCTATCTTTTACGGAGTATATCTCATATGTAGATGGTAAATTAGGTCACTCTTATAATGCACAATTGTTATGATTTATGCACTTATCAAAATCTTTCATTTTGACCATTATTTGTTTCTTATATGACACTAAATGCTCCTAGGGCCATGTTTAATGCATATTCAATCCCTATATATCTTGCATTTTTAAGTCTGCGCATTGCACTTTGAAGTGCCTCTTATGCATTTTGATTAACATCTATCTTTCATATTGTATATGTAGATTCTAAATCATGTCACGTTTTATTAGGGCTGATTCCTACAAAGATTCGGCATATTGTGGGCCAGATCCACACATTAATGTGAGTGTATGACTGTTTCTTTGTGTATACTTTTTTATGAATCGTTGAATATGAAGATTTATAGAATGAAACACAGGATATTATTTGTTGTAACTAACTAATTATTTTTTGGATTGTTTTATATGAAGCTTCAAAAGATGCATATGAATTATTAATTTGTAATTGCTTAAAAGACATCAAAACATATACTTAAAAAATAATGCATTTAGAGTATGTTGTGATACATTTGAATGGAGGTTATATACATGCCATTTTGATGCATTCCAATGCAGGTTAGATGCAAGTGAGTGTTCATCTTGATAATCCAGACTTGATAAAGATGTCTTTTATTCTTTGAAGGGAGACTTCATAGTGATGCAGTTTTACCTTATTAAATTTTGCAAATGATGATGCATCTAAAATATGAAACTTATCCATGAGATAGTGAATTTCTTTTAACAAAAATATGGTGCATATCTAATTGAGTATAGATTAAAAACACATTGAATGAATGAATGAATGAGAATCTCTTTGAAAAAACAAATCGTTGCCTATTAGCTCAAATGGTAGAGCACTATGTACTACATGTGTGGGTTCGAATCCCACATAGGCAAACTATTTATCATATTTGTATTACACTCATTCCCAATACATTGCATTCTCATGCTTTCTCATTACATACATAGCTACATAAGTATCATTTTTCACTAATTTATAAATTAATAAAATAAAATAAGAATAAAATCTAAAGAACAAATCATGATGCATATATCGCTCATCATAGTGTATTCACATTATATTTGATGCATATATCGCTCATCATGATGCAATAAAATCTAAAGAACAAATCATGATGCATATATCGCTCATCACAGTGTATTCACATTTACTTTAAGCATACATTGTCCACATCCATATAGCTTAAAAAACCTATCTCATTTCACCGCCTCATTCCATTTTATATTTCTAACTATTTAACACTTTAAAACACATGTTTTTATTATATATGTTCTTTTTACACATAGGGCACCCCTATGCACTTTAAACTCTATAATAAAATATTTAATTTATGTTTTAGTTGTAATACTAAAGTTCAAGCTTTTTGTCTCGCTTATAAAAAATGTAGATGAACTCGTATAGGGTTCACTCGCGTTGTGTTATAATGCACTTCAACAAGCATTATGGTGCACTCTTCAACAAACTATGGTGCACTTTTTTGAAATTTTAGCATAACAATGAATATGTATAAAAAATAATACATATTACAGAAAAAGAAGATAAGGTCAAGCACAAAAACAAAAAAAAAGTCTCCAACACAATATCAAAAGTTGTCCCCGCCATATAACAAAAAGAAAGTAACACCATTCTAAAAAACTAGAAACTACACGTTACAATATAATCACTCTGCTAAATCATATCACCAATGTGTCTCAATGCCCCTTAAATTTATTAATGCATCCTCTTCAGGTTTGTATGCACCATCATCATGTACAGTTGCATCATCTTCTTGCTACATACATTTGTTTCTTCTTCAGCTTCATCTTCATAAACATATGACTCAACATCAATCTCAACTGTAAGACATATGTCATATCATGCTCATGCATAAATAATTAAATAAACATAATTCTTATATAACGCATATAATAAACTTCATACATCAACTTTTGTATAAAACATAAAAATTGATGGACTATAATTCAACCCTTTATAGTAAATATTATTAACCACCTAAAAATAAATATAATCTAGCCCTTTATATCAACAAAATTTAATTAATTTGGCCCTTTATAGCAAAGGGTTTGATTATAGCTCATTGATAACAATGATGTTCTTCCATAAGGATTCATTATTTCATTATTTCATCTTTCCAGAACAACACATTTTCTGAAAGCTGTATCACAACAGGTGCATGATGCACTATCTGTCGGTGAAGAATGCACCATAATGAAATTATGTTGCACGTCTTACTAATAAAGTACTCCAGTGAACATGAACACTGTGTTGAGAAAATCCAGAGAGGAAAAGTTCAACCACTCGTCTCAATTACGAACAAATTCTGAAAACATCTACCTCAACCCACAATTATGCCCCTCCAATAATTTATATATGAACCCTAAAATGGATGAAAATACCTGCATTTCATGTTCAGATTCAAACGCCATAGCTTGAAAAAGAACCGGAGAGTAGAAGCTATGGAATCGGACATCGCTGGAGATGATGAATTTATTTTCTAATCGAGAAGCGGAAATAAGATGATGAAGATCGGAGATGGTGCGTCGATTCCCTGGAACGTAGAGATGTGAGACAGATGCGACTATTCTGCCGCGAGTAATTATTCATTCATTGAGACCATAATACCCTTCGTACAGCTGTCTTCCCTTTTTTAATGCACCGCATCCTTCCTTTCCTTTTAAAAAAAATTGGCTATTTAAAATGCTTGGACCCCCCACAGCCGTGTGATCAACAAGATCCAAGGCCTGAAAATCATTCTTTTTTCTCTCACCAAGGAGCCTTCTCACCTGATCTCACCCCTATATATATATATATATATATATATATATATATATATATATATATATATATATATATATATATATATATATATATATACCCGTGAGAATGCACCTTGTGGAGAGAAATGAGAATAAAATCTAGCCGTTGGATCTGATGCATCGTGCGGCTCAGATTGCATCTTGCGCTCAGATTTTGAGATACTGCATTTTCAAAGGATTTTGGTGCATTTCGACGTGATGCATTTTTAAACCATTTTGGTGCATCTGATTTTGATGCAATCCTGACCCTTAGATCTCACAAAAATGAAGGAGATTGAAACTGTGGATCAAATGTTCGACCGATTCTCTAAGATCGTCAACGATCTCCATGTTCATGGCAAAATTTACTCGAATAAGGATCTTGTTAGAAAAATACTACAGAATCTCACTCCCGAATGGCATTCCAAGGCCGGTGCTATCCATGATTCCATTATTATAACCAATATCATGATTGATGGGCTACGATGTAATATTAAAACTTATAAAGCACTATCCTTGAACCATCTTTTGATTTTGAGAAGAGAGCTAGTCTTGCTCTCAAGGCCTCATCTTCTAAAGAAGTCGAGGTAGGTGATTCAGAGAGTGATGACGCCACTCTTCCCTATAATTTGCTAAAAAAGTTTCATAAATTTATGAAGGAAAAAATAAAGACTTGAAAGAACAAGGAGGAATTGAACCCATTCCTACGAGCTATGGTTGTGCAAAGCTTGTCCACATCAAGCAATATTACCCAAAATGGAAGGATAATAATAAAAAAAAGAACCAACGTGGGTATATGGCATGTGATAGTGGTTCGAAAAATTTCGACTCAGAACAGCGACCCCTACAACATAGGTCAACTCTCACATTAAATATGAAAATTGAAAAAGAACTTTGTATTGACCGACTCGGTAATTAATTAATTATATAAATTAATTAAAACTACTAAGCCAGGTTTCGGGGCATTACATCTCCGGCGCTTCGTCATCGGAGCTTGACGACGGCTACTCTGCCGCACGAACCGCTGTCGGTTCCGATCCCCCCCCTGCCCGGCACTGTATTCGCCGCTGCCGGCCCTCCTGGACGAGAAACCTGTAGCTGCAGTAGTTTCCTACAAAATCAGATCCAATCCTGCTGTGATCTGCCTAAAAACTATAGCCAAAGTTGCCGAGTATGTTGATACCGTTGTCCTTCCCGACGCCGCCTAAGAAGTAAGCGCCGTCGGAAGCTTTACCTCCTCGAAGCGCTGCCCAGCTCGAATCATGGGTTGTGAACTCGTCGGCTACCTTGGACACTGTTTTTATTCTCTTCTTTCTTTTGGCGTAGGTAAAACAAGGGAGTATTTTGGTTGTCTTTTTGAAAAGAACACTCGTATGGGAATAAGGCTCTTTCCCTCTCTCTATATATTTTTTTCTTTGAGCAGAACCCCTCCACCCAAATCTACTTCAATTCGAAGTTGTTTATTTTCCATTTGGGTTTGTGCTGATGAACAAAATGAGGGAGTTT